CTCCCCGAGCAGGGCAGGCGCGGCGGGCGCGGGCGCAACGCCGCGCCGTGCCGCGCCGGCCGCCGCGCCAGCGCAGCCAGGGCTCTGCCAGCGGCTGCGCGACGGACACGGGCTCGCTGGCGGCCCTGGCCGGCGTGGCGGCGGCCCTCAGCCAGGACTCCGACAGCTTCTCCGGGGTCTGGCCGTGACCGCAACGTGGCAAGGACCGCTGCCATCTCACCGTGCGCCCTGCTCCTCTCCCTCTGAACTTCACGCCCGTCTGTCGTCCGCTCCTGATCGACAGACCCACTGCACTCCTTTTGCGGCGTCCACGCGGCGTGGCTCGCCGCCACTCGTTCAGAGAGGAACGCCTCCCTCCTCTAACCCTCATAGCCAGGCGCAGCTGCTGCGTCGATGCGATGCACGTCCCTCAGTGCGGGGCGTCCACCATAGAACAGACCGATCGATTGAAACGAATCATGCCCATTCATTCCTCTTCGCAATGCTCTCCCTGCTATACTTCAACTCGTTATCTGCACGGTCCACTTTTCTGTTCATTCCCTGGTACCCCAAATGCTCTTCCCCCATAACAAGGGCCTTTGCCGCCAGGCCAGACGGCAGCACTGGCTCGACCCACCCCCTTCCCGCATCTGATTGGTGGCCGAATAGTAGCGTCACCTGGTCGCTCTCGCTGTGTGTGTGTGTGTGTCTGTGTGTAGAGTCACATTCAAGTCACCGAGGAGGAGCATAACTTGACTTGATGCAAATTGTTGGAAAAGAGGCGCAGGCCCTGGTTGGATAAGAGGAGGTTGGCTCCAGAGCAATGCACCCATGTCAACCCGCCTGCTGCTCGCCGAGTGCTGCCAGACCCCCTGTCCAGAAGTTACAAGGCGCGACATCCACTCGCACCTCACCGCCTCGGGGCAGACGCTCGCCATGCAGAGGAGGGTGGGAGGCAGCAACACCAGAGACGGTCACACGCAGCATCACAGTCTGGACTCGCAAGGCTCTCCTCGCGCCCCATACCCGCTCACTTCCCCGCCTGCTTCCTCTGGCGTGCCTGCTGCGTGCGCATCGCGGAGCGCAGGTCGGCGGGAGGGGCGGTTCCCGGCGCGGCAGCCTTGCCCGCCCGCGCGATCATCTCCGCGATGGCGGCGTAAGGGTCCTCCGCCTGCCCATCGGCGGCCGCCTCTGCGGCGCGCGCCTTCCTCCGCTTCTTCTTCCTCCCACTCCCCGCGGCCACGCCCGCATCTGCGCTGCCGGCTCCTGCCTGTGATGCGCTTTCCACACGGGCCTGGCTGGGGTTGGCCGGCGCTGGCGTTCCTGCTGCCTCTGCCGCGGTGGTGGAAGGTCCAGCCGCCGGGCCTGTCGTGTCTCCCCCGGTACCAGTCGGCGCTTCGGCCTCCTCCATCGCGGCATCGGCCCCCGCATCGACCTCCAGGACTTCCGCCGGAATGTCGGTCTTCAGAGCGCCGCCCAATGCTCCATCGCCCTCGCTGGTCGCCGCCTCCTCTGGGGCCGGCTGCCGCTCCGGCATGGGCTCGTCGACGAGCTCCGACCCCGTAGACGCCGCCACGACCCCTTCATGCGCCGCTGCCTCCGCCGGTCGAGGCCCCCCACCCTCCGCGATCTGCATCGACCCACCCCCCGCGCTCGCCGCCCCCCAGCCGCTGGCGTCGCCCGGCGGCCGGGCCACGGCCAGCGGCCCACGCGGGCCCCCGGCGTGCCGCCGCACACGCGCCGCGGCCCTTTCCAGCTCGTGCGCCTCCAACGCGGCGCGCATGATGCGCACGCGCTCCTCGGCCACGCCGCGCCCCAGGCGCGCGCAGCGCAGGAGCTGCGAGGGCGCGCAGCCGGCGCCGCGCGCCTTCCGCGCGGCGCATACCTCGCCCTGTGGCGTCAGCACCAGCGCCAGCGCGCCGGCCGCGGCGCGCTCCTCGCGCGCCGTCGGATCCACCGCCAGGTGCCCGCCGGGGAAGAGCGCAAAGGTGACGGGCACGGGGAGGTGGTGCATGGACAGGGGCTGCGTCTCACCCGTCCCGGGGGGCAGCAGCGAGACCAGGCCGCGCGCCGCGCCGTCCACCCGCGTCGCGGGCGCCAGGTGCCCGCCGGGGAAGAGCGCAAAGGTGACGGGCACGGGGAGGTGGTGCATGGACAGGGGCTGCGTCTCACCCGTCCCGGGGGGCAGCAGCGAGACCAGGCCGCGCGCCGCGTCGTCCACCCGCGTCGCGGGGCGGCGGTGCGCGCACACCGCCGCCAGCGCGGCCAGCCCCGCGGCGTCCAGAAGGCCGCCGCCTGCGCCCATCACCGTCAGCGCCAGGTCCAGGTGCCAGACCTTGCGACCGGGGAGGACGGTGAGCGCCTCCAGGTCCACGGCGCGGCCGTCGCGCAGGCCGCGCTCCAGCGCCAGCGCCAGCTCCTCGGCCTCCGGGGCCGAGCGCGCGCCGGGGTCGGACCCCGGGGCGGCCAGTGGGGTCAGGCGCGCGGAGACGCGCAGGGAGCCCTCGTTGGGGCGGTCGGGGAAGGGCGGGCGCAGCGTGGCGGAGACCCCGGCGGAGACCAGGGTGTCCCCCAGCGCCACCACGCACCCCGAGTCGTCGGGGAAAAAGGAGAAGGAGGGGGTGCGGGAGTCGTAGGGGCCACGCCCGTCCTCACGCACGCCCGCGGCGATGGCCTGTGACCAGGGATTGGGTGGGTGGGTAGGTGTGAAGGGGCCCCTGGGTGGTGCCAGACGATAGGTAGTATAGGCAAAGCCCCATTCAACAACCCCCGTAGGCCATGTGCGGCGCTCACATTCTGGATGAAATCACGTTCTAGGTTGGAGAGTGGCCCGATCGCCATGGTCTGCCCTCCCGGCCCGCCCTGGGTTGCGCGGCAAGGTCGTGGGGAGCCGTCTACCGGCGCGGCGTCACGACGCACTATATACTTGGACCGTACAGTACATGGATCGAGACGAGCATATGCTTTATCTCGATAAAGCACTGCGCGCGCTGTGCGTCGCTTGCATGCAAATGTCCCAGTGCATCTTACACGAGCAGCGATGGGGGGCGCGCGCTCTGCACGGTAAACATCCTGTCTAGTGGGCCAGATCACAATTCAAGCCCCGACAGGGTATGGTCCCTCTCAAGGTGCACATGCAAATCCAGACCCTGTTCATATCCGAAGCCTGCTCCCCAGCTCTTCCAGGGCCGCCTCCTCCAGGATGAGGCCCAGGGCATGCAGCGCATGGGGGCTCAGCCTAAACTGAAGGTCTGGCCGCTCCAGGTCCTCCACTGCAGCGTTGGCCACCCCCTGGAGGGCAGGGCTCGGGAGGATTGTAGTGCAAGGTTTGGGCCGACCCTGCTGACTGTCGACGTATGGCAATTGGAGTCTGCCCCCTGCACAACCACAAGCAGGCCCCACCTGCAGTGCGCCCATGAGGTCCTGGGTGGCGGGCCTGGTCTCGGCCAGCCAGGGGCAGGGGGCGTGGTGGGGCCGGCACACCTCGTCCATGCCTCCCGTCAGGTAGAAAGAAGGAATGTGCACCTCGTGGTGCAGCGGGTGGCCCGGGTCCTCCGCTGCGCAGGTGGGCGGGGATTGGATGCCGGATAGGGGTGACTACCTGCCCAGACCCCATGCGTGAGCTTCCGTGGTCGCCCTCCACAGCCAGGTAGGACGTGCGATGCATCAGCGCAAGACTCCAGCCCGCCCGCTCCAATCTCCAATCTCCCCCTCCCCGGGATCGCACACTGCGCCCACCCGACCCTGACTCCAGCCCGCCCGGGTTCCTCGCTCACCGGGGGTTGGGTCCCAGGTGGCCATGGTCACCTCGTTCAGGAGTGGGCAGGACACAGACTTGGTGTCAGGGGGGTGCTGCCTGCACAGAGAGCACAGTCCGGCGTCGTGCGTCCCCTCGGCAGCGGCCCTCCATCCCCTGCTCGTGCCGTGCAGCAGCCGCACCCCCGCCAGGGCCCTGCAGGGGATGATGAAAAATCGGGGGAGGGAGGGTGCAGGCGAGGCGCCAAGGAGGACGAGCAGGCAAGGACGCGGAGAGGGAGCGGCGAGCCAGAGACAGGGGGCACGGCCTGCCGACATCGCCGTACGCAGAGAGGAAGGTGAGCCATGCCTGCCACAAGCGACGTGCACGCCCAGCCGGCGGGTGCGCGCGAGGGGCGGCCCAGCAACCGCCAGCCGGCACGAAGCACTCTCTCACCCTCGAGCCTGGGCGGACTGTGCGGCCTCCACCAGACCGTGGTGCAGCTCGAGGTTGCCGGGCCGCTCGGCGCCGGCCTCCTCGCCCCACTCGGAGCGCAGCACTGCAGCCACCGCCGCCTCCTCCACGCTTTCCAGCGCCCGCAGGCCGTGCTCCAGCGGTCGCACATGCCGGGCGAGCTCCACGCCCGCGCTGGTGCCGCCGCCGCTGGGGGAGGCGCGCCAGAAGAGGGTGGCGCAGGGCCCTGGGCGTCGAGGGGGTTTGGTGGGGGAGAGGGGGTAGTGGGGGGAGCAGGGAGTGCGAGGGGACAGCATGCACGCCGGGCAGAGGCTGCGGTCCAGGAGCCCTGGGCGGCAGCGGGGGCGCAGTGTCCAGCCAGTTACAGGGCGCCGGCGACGACAACAGAGGAATTCCCAGGCCAGGGAAGCTTGAGGCGCGACATTTGTGCGGCCACTTTCCCCTCCCCCCCCACACATTCTTCCCCATCCAGTCCAGCGGCTCACCCTGGCTGGGCGGCAAGGGGGCCGGAGGGGGCCGGGGGCGGTCTCGGGGGCTTTTTACACTCCCTACATCCTTCCGTTGGCTTTTCCCCAGCCGCCGCATCCTCTCGTCACGCTTGCCCAACCTATCCTCCTTGGCAGAGAGGTACACTGCACCCCCGCCAAAGGAAAAGGGGATGGGAGGCACCAGTTTGTGAGCGCGTGCCTTGCCCTCCCAACCCTGGGAAGACCACGGGAGCACCCCGCCGCGATGCAGAAGCCGAGGCCAGCCACGGCCGTGCGCGGTGAGGCCTCCATACGAGGAGTGAACCCACACGGGGGCATGCCCGTCGGACCCCTGGCCCGAGACCTCCCATCCCCTCGACCTACGCCCTCACCTGCCTTCTCACGCGGACCCTCCATCTGCCACCGGACCAACTGCCGCTCGCTATATCCGGTCTCCCTGGCAGCCCTGAGCCTCTCGCACCGTGGCCGGGCCAGTCCTGACAGCATGGGTGCCTGAGGAATGGAAAGCGGGGCACATGAGTGCGGGGGGAGGGGGCCGTGGAAGCGGCGGTTCCAACCCAGAGCAGGACCGTTTACCTCCACATGTCGGTGGTGCGCAGGCATCCAACTCTGAGGCCCAGATTGCACGGTGCAATCCCAGCCTCGTCCATGCCTGGCCTCCCACACCCAGTCGGGATGCCCAGAGTCGGTCCATCACCCTCCCCTCGCACCAGACGGCAGCCGGGGCAGAAGCCGCACGGCTTCCAAGGGTCTATCCACAGCTCGTCCTCGCGCCTGGCTGCCAGCAAGGCCCTGTGTTGTTCCTTTTTCTCCTCCCAGTACTGCAAGGGGCGGTGGGAGGTGGGGGAGAGGGCACGGTCAGGGCCGGCCACATGTGCATGACTGGCGGCAAGGGCCATGCAGGGGCCGGGCGTGGCGGTGACAGATCGCCGCCTGACCTGCCTCCGGGAGTTCAACATCTCAGGTCGCTTGGCGGCCTGAATGGCCTTCAACTTCTCGTTGTGAGCCACTACCACAGCGGCGCGCTGGTCGTGCCTGGGTGTGGAGGGGGAGGTGCAACGGCTGGGACAGGACGAGTGAGGGTCCGAGGGATTACCTCCGAGCGCCGTCGCCATCGTGGTTTGGTGCCCTGTTCCCAGCGACACATGAGAAGGGCAGCGGCGGGCCCGAGAATGAGGGTCAGCACAGGATCACAGAGCACCTCACCCCCGGCATGGCCCTCGCCAGTGTGAGCGAGGCCACTGGGCGACCTGGCCCCCCTCACGCCTCACCTCATCTGCGCCACCAGATCGAAGAGCTGAGGACCGTACAGCCGTGGCTGGGGCCGCCCATCTCCTGCCGTCCAGCCAGGTGGGTCCAAGGGGCGCGAGGGATCGGGGATCCCCTGTGCAGCCAGGACTCGACGCATGCCGGACAGAGCCGCCTCCCTGTCAGGGAAGTCCCTCGAGATGACAAGACGCTGCCTGTCACCTGCAGGCGGAGGAGGAAGGGGGGATTCAAGGCTGCAAGGTGACCTCAGAGGGCCCCACCTTTTGGTGACGACAGCCAGTGTTGGCCCTGTCCTCCCCAGGTAGCCTGCTGTGCCTGCTCACCTATGAAGACGGCGGCAACCCACTGTTCCTTGCGGACGTCGGATTTCCAGACCTGATGGGCGGGAAAAGGAAGGCTGCCTGTGGGTCATCTCTGGCGTGCCACATCCTTGAACGCTGCACAATCGCTGGAAGGCTCCACCAGACGCCGCACCCATCATCCATAAACAGTGAGAGCTGAGTAGCCCACATCCTTCCACCAGCCGCCACATACCAGGGCATGGTGGAGGGCGGCTGCATCTCCGCCAGGATCGGTACCTCTAGGCCCTCTGTCTGCATTCAAGTCCATAAGATTGTCCTCATCCGAGGCATCCCTCTGCGACTCTTCAACATTCTCAGTGTCATCTGGGCTGCTGCTGGTCTCGAGGTGACTCTCGGCTCCACTGCTCACATCTAGCTCACTGGTGCTGTTCTCGGACTCTGAAAAGGTACCAGTGGACCGAGGCGAAGGGGGGCTCTCCGACTCCGACGCGGTGGAGAGAGAAGGGGACATCGGGCCCTGCATGGGTGCAGACCAGTACAGGAAGGGGTGGGTGTGAACCTGGATGTGCCTGGTGGGTCGAGGGGGCCTCCGAGCACGTGGGATCTCTGGTTTTCGTGAATTAGCATGGATGGTTCGCAGCATTATAGCAGGGCGCACCAGTGCCACCTCTCTCGCGAGCACCATCATCAAGGCGCTAGGGCCAAGGATGCTGAACGTCATACCGTGCGCACCTTCTCACGAGTCACCCCGTTCCTCCATCAATAAAAACAACCAGGCCTTGTTTAAGATCCAGACTCACTGAAGGGTTATGGGTACCATTATGGGGCCTGTGGCGCTGCATTGGAGTCCCAGGTGAGTTCTATGAAGTATTCATAGAGATCGCTGTGGCAGCTTAGATTGCACGTGGGCAGACCCCATTGCCACTGATACCAAATTTCAAGAGACAAATACCTCCTACTGCTTTCCCTGGCCAATCGATGAACGCGAATTTGGTCAGAGCAACCCAATGAAGCACCAGATTAGTGGAAACTGGTGTCGCTGCATGGTTATTATATCTGCAGCGCTGTAGATCACTTCGAGCGAGCCATGTCGTCTCGATGACCAGTGACGTGAGCAGCCTCCCGCTGTGCCCCACTCTGCGCTCCAAGCTCTCGGCTGCAGGTTTTACCAGTGCTGCAGCTGTGGCTCAGGCTGACCCAGCGAGGCTGGCAGCAGGTGGGTTGGCAAGAGTCAGACGAGCATGTGGCTATCTCTCAGATTTTCCAGATGTAACTTTTCATCATGGACCAGCCCTCCCCCTGAAATCCACTAGATGCCGCAGTGACGCTGGAGGATGCCCAGAGGGCACAGCATGCGGCAGATGCCAGGACTCGCAGCGGCCTGGCCGGCGCCCTGTCAGCCAAGGCCCTGTATGACCGCGAGCGGCGCTCCCAGCGCATCATCACCTTCTGCGCGGGGCTGGACAGCATCCTGGGGGGTGGCGTGGGTCTACAGCAGATCACGGAGGTCTGCGGCGGGCCTGGGCTGGGCAAGACGCAGCTGGGGTGAGGCTGGGGGTTGACAATGTGTTTCTGTGTAAGTTGTGTGTGCGGGGGGGGGTCCTGCTGGCGTATGCCGATGGGGTATCTCTTGCCTCCATTCATACTCCTGCTGGGACACCGATGCATGCATGGGAACCTCTGGTCTTTTCCTTTGAACCTATGGTTTCCAAGGTTCCTCACCTGGGTGTCTCACAAACCAGCAACTCAGAACCCCTCAAGCCCCTCTGCTTTTCCCCCTCTCACACACATTCAGGATGCAGCTGGCCCTGGACGTCCAAATCCCCGACTGCTTCGGGGGGCTGGGCGGGGAAGCGCTGTACGTCGACGCCGAGGGCGGCCTGACCCTGGAGCGCCTGACGCAGATGGCCGACGCGCTGGCGGCCCACCTGCGCCGCGTCGCCGCGGCGCGCGCCGTCGCGCGCCGCGCCCAGGCGGCCGCCGCCCTCACCCGTGAGCGCATGTTCGACGCGGTGCACCTCTACCGCGTGCACGACCTGGCGGAGCTGCTGGCGGTGGTGGACGGGCTGGTGGCCACCTTGGCGGCCCGCCCCGCCATTCGCCTGGTGGTGGTGGACAGCATCGCCTTCCCCTTCCGGCAGGACCACGCTGACCTGGCGGCGCGGACGCGCCAGCTGGCGCAGCTGGGCCAGAGCCTGATGGAGGTGGCCGTCGCGCACGATGTCGCGGTGCGGCAAGGGGTGGGGTCTCCTTCATTCCTTGGTGCAAGAGGTTGGCGGCCAAGTCGTGGGAGGATCTTGCAGGTCGAAAAGCGCTGCGGCCTCCTTGGCAGGCCTGACCTCCATTCTCCTGGAGGCCGTGCTGCCCCACCACACTGCTGCCACCTCCCCCCCCCCAAAAAAATGCGCAGGTGGTGCTCACCAACCATGTCACCACGCGGCCGGGGGAGGACGGGGGGGCGCCGCCCCGCCTGATCCCGGTGCTGGGGGACACCTGGGCGCACGTCGCCACCTCGCGGCTAATGCTGTACTGGGAGGCGGGGGCGCGCCGCGCCTTCCTGTACAAGTCCCCCTCCCAGCCCCCCGCATCCTGCGAGTACCTGGTCACGGGCGAGGGGATCCGGGGCAGGAGGCAGCCTGCCAAGCGGGGCCCCGAGGGCGAGTGCCGCGGGGAGGCGGCAAAGAAGTGAAGCCTGTTTGAGGAAGGGCTACCCTGCTGCAGGGCCCCACCCGCATGCTTGGCATCCTGGCGTCGTAATGCAGTCCACCACTGCCCTGTCAGCGCAGAGCTTGTATGGCCCAGTGCTCTGCAGTCTGTGACAGGCTGCGTCTGCTGCCAAATGTTTAACAAGAATAGGCCATGTGAGGTCACGAGGGAACCTGCTCGAGGCCAGGGGCCTCAACTGGCAGTGACAGTGGGAGGCGTGTCATGTTTGCAGGGTCGAAGGGCATCCTCCTCGCTATTCCAGCTCCTCACGTTCAAAGCTCTCCAGCTCGCGCGGTGGCGACTCATTGCAGGCTGGAAGCAAGATGCTGTGGACCACAGGACGAGGCCTGGGTCCACCATGGCTCGGGGGCTCGCCAGTCGTGCAGGACCGTCGCTCCGTCCTCCGCCATGACCACCATGCGAGCAGCCTGCAGCCCAATCGCCAGCTCCGGCTCCTGGAGGTCCCCCATGGCCACCTCCACGGGTGCCTGTGTGCATGCAAAGGTGATCATTCCTGAGTTGTGGGGCCTGCGAGACTCGCCTTCCGCCACCCTGCCTGGCGCTGGCAACATCCCGTTGGTTCCCATTCCACCAGCGCACAGGCCTGTCGCACGTGGCGCATGGTGCCACTCGTCGTCGGCCCTCCGTTCCCCCGCACAAATCCTTTCACCTGACCCGGGCGCCGTGCCAGCGGCCCATACAGCGTGTCCCCCACCAGCGGGTGCCCAACGGCCGCCATCTGCGCCCTGATCTGGTGGGTGCGCCCCGTGACCAGTCGCACCACGCAGTCAATGACGGGGCCGCCGTGCACGCTTTCCAGCGCCGGCGCCGACTCCGCGCTTTCCATAATCAACGAGCAGGCAGCGGTGCCTGGGCGCGGCTCGTCGTGCGCCACGCTGTGGATGGGGCAGCCAGGGATGCGTGTGCCCACCGCCAGGTGGTGCGTCAGGAGGCCTGAGCGTGGGGTGTTTGGGGAGAAAGTTTGGAATGGAGCGAGGCTGGGACTGTTCGGCGTTTGCAGGGCCGGTGCTCGCCGGCTCCACAGGCGATGTGTCGGCCAACCGCACCAAAAGACATCCCTCCGACTGAGGTTGCTCAAGGACACACACACAAACACCCCAAGCCACGCTCCCGCACCCAGCCCAAACCAACACGCACCCAGGGGAGGGGGCTGGGAGCCGTGGCAGAGCAGGCGGTAGGTCTTCTGCACGCGCCCCGAGTGCTGTGCATCGTGGAAAGCGCGCACGGCCTGCACGCCGCGCCCCAGCACCACCACGCCCTCGGTGCATCGGTCGAGGCGGTGGATGATGTGCAGCGGCTGGGAATCGGTGGGCGGGGCGCACGGTGACGCTGGGCAGAGGCCCTGCTGCACCTGCGCTGCGTGAAAGGCCTGCGGGGAAGTGGGCGTGGGAGGGTGTGCGCAGTTCTGTTCCTGGTGGAGGGGGGTTCATGGGGATGGTCAGTGGCAGGCTGCGTGCTCGACCAGCCCCGTGGTCGGCCCTCCAGTCCCATGCCCTTCCGCGCCACGACAACACCCCTGACCTCCGTTGCAATGCCGCCGTCCCCACACCTCATACCTGGGATGCCTGGGTAACCACACTCTCGCGCGCATTGTCCACGGTGATGGGGACCGGGACGCCGCAGGGTTTGTTGACAATGACATGCTCGTCGGTGACGGCCAGCAGGCGCGCCGCCCAGTCCGCGCAATCGGCCGCGGGGAAGCGCTTGACATGGGCGTGCACGCGCAGGTAGGCGCCGGCCGGCGCCACGCTGGTCCTGGAGGCACGGCGAGGCGTCGACAGGCGGGTCTGGAGAGCGGGACAGGAAGGGTCAGGGGAGGTTTGGGGAGTCGGGATGGCATCAGAGGCTTGGGAGACGTCGTGCGTGCACCATGCGCGCTGGACCGGAATAGACCCATCGGCCAGCACAGAAAGACCACCGAGTAGCAGCAGCCGCAGCCCACCACCGCAGCAATCACCCACTGCCCCACATCGTTGCCGTGCTGCTTCAGGGCTGCCTGGCGGGCCCCGGAGGACGGCTCACAGGCCAGGGAGCCAGGCAGGGCAGGCGGTACGGGGCAGCAGTACACGGCCCCGATCTCTATCAGACCAGCCACAACGTCCTGAGGGACGGGGTGGCGGTTTTGGGGGGAGGCCATGAGGGGAGGGGCAAGGGAAAGCAGTGGGAGAGGGGCCAACCAAAGCCTTGCCGGCAGCACACCACACCTGGGGCAGCTGGAGGCCCTCGGCCACCAGGGTGCTCACGAAATCCTCCCGCGGGGCGAGCAGGTGCTCGACCCTCGGGCCGGGGTTTCTGTAGCCGGGGGGCAGGGGCGAGGCCAGGCACGCCCGGATGGTCTCGATGGGGTCGGGCATGGCCCGGGCACTCACGCCCTTGCTACACCCACCCCGGAGCACAGCCCTCACGCGCGCGGCGCTTGTTGAATACAGCATGCAAGGCCCCCGACATGCCGGGACTGCATACGTTTCGATCACCGCATCCGGTCGCGGTGGACGTAGGGTGTACAGATCAGCGTAGCAACTACATGCAACGCTCTCTGCAAACCTCCATGAATACTTCTCTTCCGAATTCCTCGGATGCCAAATCACCAGGCACTACTGCGGTTTTGAGCAGTTCTACATTCTACCCATGATACGCGAGAGCCAAGTTCATTGCGCTATGTGGCAGAACAAATACATTCAGGACTGCATGCCCGAGATAGTCTGGCATTGCGATCCCTGCATGTGAGCTCTGCGTCCACCTGAGCAGCTTGGGCCGGCTCATGCCTCGCCCCAGAAGCCCACCTTCTGGGCAGGTGCCACCCAGCGCGTCTTGTACACGCTCTCCTCTGCCTTGTACTCGGGGTGCTGCGGGATGAAGACAATCAGAGGGTGAGCAGCACGATGGCAGGGGCTATTCAGAATTGCACGGAGAGGCGCGCCATGCACTGATAACAATGTTCCTAAACTCACATTCTTCATGATCTCCTTCTGCTTCTTCTGGAACTCCTCGTTGGCAGCCACCCACCTGTATGGTTGGAAGAGTGGCATGTGGGCACACAAAACACTGCGATGTGGAACTGGCCTTGCAATTGCAAAATAATCAGCCCACTCATTCTTAGCGAGGAGCATCCACCCACCCATGCCACCTCACCTCCTGTCCTCCTCTGCCTGCAGGAACGGTACCAGAGCTCTGCGGGAATCCAGCTTCTCCCGCTTCTCATCCCGGCGCTTGATGTTGCCCTGTCCCACCTGGTAGAAGCCATATGCCATGACAGCAGCTCCCACACCAAACAGGGTAAAGCCGGCAGGTCCGGAGTTTGGAAGCCTTCGTGCATACCGCACCGCCGGGAAACCACCTGGTGGGGGTCCGTCCTGCACTATGGGCATGTCCTTCACGGACTGCGGTGAGGGAGGGAGGGGAGTCGGTGTGAGCATGGTGTACTCGGCGTCAGCAGTGACGCCCTAGCCCATAGAAAAAGGTGCAACCTGCACAGTAGACACGCCAAAAAGGTTACTGGCCAACATACCTTCATTCCCGGCGCGCCTCGCCGGAGGAACTCCGTCATCGTGGCCTCGTTGCTTCACGCCAGACCAGCCCTGAGCCAAAAGGCTTCCCTGCGCTCGCTTCGGCTACAGCTAGGGGGGCAGGAGGCCTTCCCTAGATATCTAGATGTGTGTCGAGCGTTCAGGGATGCGGTTGAGTTGGCGGGTTGATGGGCTTTGTGTCGGGTTCGGGGCAGGGTTGGGCGCGTCTGGCTTTCCTATGATGCCTACGCCGAGTGAGATGTGGCACCCCATAGACGCAACGCCTCGTCTCCAGAACCGAGACTGATTTTTCATTTGTGCAACAGAACATCTAGATCTGTTAAAACAGTATCTATGACTATTGCACCCTTGAACAGTTCAAGGAAATCAGTGCATGCAACGCAATGGAACGGGTTACCAGTGGGAGGAGGGGGGCTGTGCACGGTGGTGCAACGGCTGGTGTTGTTGCCGCATGCGTACACAACAAGCTGGCCAGACCGGCACCGAGCAGCCCCGCACCAGAAAACTTCCAAAGAATCATAGTCCCGTGTGTGCGCGCTCGTGCGGGGCAGGGAAAGAGACACCACATGGTTTTGGGGTCATTTTCCCACCAGCATGGATGTGTCCAGGCCCGCCACCTCCCCCTCCCCAACGCTGGTCTCCTGGCGGGCCAGGCTCCGGGGCCGCACGTTCAGCCACAGGCCGTTGGCGGTGTGGATGGTGGCCCCCGTGGTCATGCCCACCTCTGGCGCGTCGGGCGGGACCGCCACGTCGAAGCGCCGCGCCAGCACGGCCAGGGCGACCACTGACTCCATGAGCGCAAACTGGTCGCCTGTGGGGCGGGGAGGGGGGTGAGGATTATGTAATTGAAGCGGGGACGGGGGGCTGTGACCCATCCAAGCCGCAGAGCCGGAGCACGCATGGTAAGGGGCTCTGCAGGCCAGCAGGGTCTTGCTCGGCAGATGGTCATGTGACGAGTCGCACTTGTGCAAGGAAGGCCCGCCGAGGGGGCAAGGCCCCAATGTAAAATCATACTCCCCTCAGAACACACACACACAAAAGAAACCCTCCACTCGTCCACCGTCCCTCACCTATGCACTTGCGGCGGCCCCCGCCAAAGGGCAGGTAGGCGAACCCGGTGGTGATCTCATTGGGCGTGGGCCCCGCCAGGTCGAAGCGGTCGGGGTCAAAGGCCTCGGGCCTGTCCCAGTGCGCGGGGGAGCGGTGCAGATTCCAGACGGAGATGAAGATGTCGGAGCCCTTGGGCAGGCGGAAGCCCTGCAGCGTGTCCTCCCCCAGTGCGCGTCGGATGAGTACAGGGGGCTGCGGGTACAGGCGCATTGCCTCGTTGATCACGCGTGTCGTGTAGCGCAGAGCCTGGTAGTCGGCCAGGGCCGGCAGGCGGTCGCCCAGGACCTCGTCCACTTCGCGCTGGAGGCGGGCCATGGCCTCCGGGTGGGTGGCCAGGCAGTGCAGCGTCCAGGTCAGCACGGCCGCAGTGGTCTCGTGCCCCGCAATCAGCATGGTCATCAGGTCGTCCCGCAGCTGCTTGCTGGTCACGTCATCCCCCGCCGCGATCAGGAAGTGGAGGATGGAGGGGTCGGAGCGCGACAGGAACTCCTCCTCGAACGCCTTGTCCTCCCGCTCAGCCTGATGAAAGTAGGGTTGGGGGGGGGGGGCCGTAGGTTGGGAAGGGGAAAGTCACACAAGAGGAGGGAAAGTAGGGACCATGGCTTGCGCCACAATGTGGAAAAGCTGTAGATCTGCCGCTGACTGCCGTCATCAAATCTGTGCCAGATAGCCGCAACAGCGCACTCTCCAACCCCATCGTGCAAGACAGCTACAAGCATGAGGCACGCACCATACACAGTGCCACGAAACCCCTCGGAAAGGCAGGAACAACCCTCAACTAGACGAGCACGACAACACACCCCCACACCAGGCTCCAAAACCCACCAGGCTCCTGCTGTTCTCGATCAGCTCCCCCAGCTTCCTGTTGATGAGCTGGAGCGCCGACTGCACCTCGCGCTGACGTGGCACCAGCTGGCGGAGCAGGGCGCTGTTCCAGTAGGGGATGGGGAAGGTGGAGCGGTACTCCGCCTCGCGCAGGGTGAGGTAGACGGCCTTGATCACGGGGTCATCGTGGGTGAGGGAGTCGAAGTCGTAGTTGAACACAGCCTTGCCGATGATGTCCAGGGCCAGGCGGGAGAAGAAGTTCTCAAACTCCACCATTGTGCCCTCCTGCACAGGTCCCACGAGGGATGGCGCGGGTGTGTGCAGGGGCAAAGGGGGACCAGGGTATGGAATCGTGTGTGCATGCATCCCATGCCACCCACAACCTCTCAATTTGCAACTGAGTCCTTTCCAGATCCCAAACCATCAAATCCCAGGGCAGCTACACCCATCGACCACAACCCACCTCGGCTGCCTTGCTGAGCACCGCAGCGCCGTGCAGGCTGCACTCGCCAAACATGTTGAGCATGGAGTTCAGGTACTGTCTGTGCAGGGCTGGGACGATGGCCCGCCGGCGGATCTTCCACACCTCACCGTCTGCCGGGATGAGGCCTTGACCCATGACAAAGTCCAGGATCTCAGACAGGATGCCCTTGCTATAGTTTGATGCGTTGGTGGACAGGATCTGGGAGAGGAAGGGGGGGGAGGGATGGTGAAGGGGTCACAGGCTTAAACTCAAGTATATCCCAAAGTCCAAGGTCCAGGTGCAGGGTTTCGGCCGCTGGCCGGCGCCAGCTTTGGGCGCCCCGGAGAGCAGGGCAAAACCTGCCTCTCCCGGCCTATCGCACCAGCACAGAGACAATCCCATCCACCCTTGACACTGAATCGCCCCACCTGCTTGGCCAGGGCGGGGTCAGACACGATGACAAACGACTTGACGCCAAAGGTGAGGCGGAAGACGGGGCCATACCGCTGGAAGAGGCTGAACAGGGGCAGAAACACCGGCTGACCCACAATCTCTCTTATATCGCCGCGCGCTTCAGGGATGCGCCGTGCCGCGTTCCACTTCCACCTGGACCCCAGCTGTGCCAGCTTGTACGACAGGGCCCTGCCTGTGGATGTGTCGAGGGGGCAAGGGGGGCGTCGGGATCCCCAACCCTTCTAAAAACAGGTGGGCAGATGGCACCAGACACCTACCACAGTCTCTCAGCTCCTTAGAGGGCATCAATGCCAGTCTCAAGTCACATAATGCCCTCACCTGGTCCTATGGGGTCCTTGGCAAGGGCTTTGCGCAGGGGCCGGGTGAGGCGCTCCTTGGTGGAGCCTGTGTCAGAAAACTCCCCGGAGGCGATGCGAGAATCTAGATCAATGCTCTGATCTTCTGCCCGGAATGGGGAGGCAGACGTGACCCACGAGGGGTGGCCGTGGGGACCTCCCTGCGGCGCCATGCCGCATGGTAGCCGATGAACCGCGGCGTGGGTGGGCAAGGGGGCCGTGTGGTGGTGCAGGGGCCTTCCGGCTCCAGCGCAAGCCGGTGGCATAGCGGTCGCCCTGCACGAAGAATGCATCATTACAGGGCTCATGCCGGCAGAGTGTTGCCCAAACAGCGACGCAGAGGCACATGTGAATCCCATCTGGGGGTACGTGCCCAGCGCATGTGTATCGGATTGACTGCAGCATGCGCCGCACCGGTTACTCTGCCAGCCAAGGGCCGTACACAGATGGCGAGCAGGGAAGGGCGCAGCCAGGCGCACATATACCGGCACAATATAGTTAAACGTATCCATTTTATCTGAAGTTTTTGGCTTGGGCGGCCGAGGCCTGGACGTCATGGCCGAGGCGCCCTGCGCCTCAGGCGCCACTGCCCAGCTCGCAGCCTCGCCGCATGACGCCGTGAGATGGAAGATCACATGCATGTACCGCCAACTGGAAAGGGTTCCTAGCATGCTCGAACGCCTGACTTCCCTCGGGCAGGGCCAGCTCAGTGCCGAGGTCCAGGAGTGGGTGGTGGGCGCCCTGATGCGGGACCCCTACCATGCCTCCCACGTCATCGACGTCGACTACCACAGGTGTGTGCATAGCTCCAATGGAATGGAGGCTGTGTCTGGAGCCACTCAGAAGGGGGAGTTGTCGCTGAGACCGTGCCACATTTGCTTTACCATTTGAATACCTCTTCAACAGGCGGTTGTGCAAGGCCTTATTTGCAGCAGCAGAGCGCTCCGACGACGGTGTGACCGATGCGCTGGCGGACGAATTTCAAAAGCGGCAGTGCGCGGTCCAGCAGAGCCGCTCCGGCTGGTGCCAGAAGGTCTGGACATACGGCGTCACGGGGCCTGCGCTGGGCCACCTCGGCACAACAGCCTCAGACGGGGCGAGCGGCTGCATCGCCCTTGGCCTGTCTCACGACATGCTGGCAGGCAGCACGGGGTGCCACGAGTGGGAGGCGGGCTTCTGGCTGGCAGAGTACGTGCTGAGCAACCTGGCCGCCTTTGCAGGTGGGCGCAGTAAGGAGTTTTGGTTGTGAGTTTGCTGAGGTAGGCTGGCCTGCAAACACCAGACGGCTGCTCTTTGTCATGCCATGCTGGCTTCGCCAGTCCCGTGCGCGCACATGCATATATATATATGCAAAAATCTCTCACACACACATACAAATCTCAGGGAAGCACTGCGTGGAGCTGGGGTGTGGTGCGGGCGTGGTGGGCGTGGCACTGGCCCGCGTCGGCGCGGCGTCAGTGCTGTGCACCGACGGCTCGCCCGAGGCGGTGGCCAACTGCGACGCCAACCTGCGCCTCAACGGGGTCGGCGCAGGTGACAACGTGCGCACGGCGCTGCTGCGCTGGGAGGACGACCCGGCGGGGGGCCCCACGCCGGACTGCATCCTCGGCGCCGACCTGCTCTATGACCCCCGCGCTGTGGCGCCCCTCCTGCACGCAGTGACGTGGCTGCTGCAAAACACAGCAAGCCATGGAGGAAAGGGCGAACGCCGCGCCCCCGCCGCCGCGCTGATCGCCACCGTGGAACGCAACCCGGACACCCTGGCGCTGTTCGAGCGGGAGGCGGAGCGCCATGCTTTCTTACAAGCGAGGCGGGTCGCCGTGCCGAGGGTGCAGGCCGTGTCCTGGCACGAGTTCGAGGCCCTGGAGGCGGCGCGGCCGCGCCTGTTGCTCCACGAGCTGGCGCTGAGGGCCCCGGGGGGCCAGAGTTGATGAGTGATGTGTGGGATGCCCATTGTGGTGGCAGCTGCTAATAGGAATGACTCTGTGTTTAGTGCTTTAGGTCCAGACTGCAGGACAGATCCGTCTACATGTCTGCGTGACTTCACAGCACTGACTTTTACCACAGAGGGTCAGCGCGATCCTTCTGTCTGTAATGACCCACAGCTTTGTGACTGAAAGAGGTTCAGGTTTGGGCACAGGAGTCAGTCAGAGTACTCCGCATTGAATCCGGCACCAACCCCTCCCCCCCGTGCGTCGGTCTTGGCACGCCCAAAGCGCGTCCTCTTCACCGCCTGGCCGCCGCCCCGCCCGCCGCCCCGCGCGCCACCGCGAGCACCGCCCCGCGCGCCGCCGCGGCCCCCTCGCCCGCCGCGAGCCTCGCCACTGCTTCGCCCCTGGGACTGGCCGCCCTCGGGCCGGCCGCGCTTTCCATCCTCGCGGCGCATGGGCGTGTTGGTGGTGACGGCCCGCCGCCACCCGCGGAAACGGTAGTAGCGGTCTGTCAGCGTCGTGAACCAGACGGCATTCACGCCTTCTTTCTCGTCCTGGGCCGCAATGTGCGGGTACAGCTGGGCCGCCTATGGGCAGGAGGGGGGTGGGTGGGGGCCAGTCGGATGCTGCACGGATCAATTGTGTTGTTGGATGTTCCAAGCAGGTCCGCCCCAGGAAGCCCTTCAAGATGGACGATTGATAGGAATGCAGGATGGTACAGAGTTGTCGCACCCATCCAGGCCCAGCCATCCCTGGTCGTGTCACCTTGAATGCGTCCACGTGGCTTTGGAAGTCGGACAGGTGGATCTCGCCATGCAGCTTGCCAAACTGGGTGTTGTAGGAGTCGTAGTAGCACTCATCCAGAAACAGCCCCAGCTCAGGAGCCATGGGCCCGCTCAGCCCTGTTGGAAGGGTGGAAAGGGCGGCAGGCGGTCATGCTCTGCATGTGCTGACTGGTGCAGGGCATGGCCGGCGACCTTGAACCCTCGACACACCCCTGGACCACTGGCCTTGCACCACCCCTCACCGATTCGAGTGTGCAGCGCCAGGGAGATGGCGTCCGCTGGGGCCGCCCCCCGGTAAATGGCCATGGCCAGTCCCACCATCTTCCTGATCTGGTGAAGCATGAAGGACTGGCCCACCACCACCAGCCTCACCCACGGCTTCCCGCCAATGTCAAAGGCCCCCAGGCACCTGGTGGAATCAGGGAGGCGGGGTCGTCGACAGGGTCGGTGATTGGACATGTGGATGGGGGTGCTGGGGAAGTGCTCCGATCGATGTTCAGGCAGAACTCGTACCACCACTTGCAGCTGGGGGTGGTACCCACACCCATTGCATACTCGCCACCCTCTTGTGACCGCCCAAGGCATCCACCCCATCCAGTCTCCAATCGCTCCTGCTCACAAGTCGGCCTGCCCCATCTGTCAGCCCCCCAGGACAAGCCCTCAACCGCCACAGCCCGGCCCACCTGAACGATAGGATATACCGTCTCGCATTTGGCGCGGAGGCGGCGACCCGCACCGTGAAGTTGTGGAAGTTGTGGGTCCCCTCAAAGGCGGAGAGGATGGAAGTCATTCGGGCCGCACACGCCGCATCGAATATGAATCCGGTGTCCTCTGGCTGTGACACTCCTGTCGAAGCCGCCAGCGCGCCGTCTGCCTCCACAGAGGGGGTCACTCCTCCCCCTGTCCCCGGCGGCGCGTCACCCGGATCCCCAGCGGCGTCGCCACCTGCGGCCGGCGCGTCCTCGTCATCACCCAGGGCCGTGGAAGCCTCGCCGTCCTCCTCCGTCTCCAGGAGCGGCACGGCCTCGCCGTCCTCCTCCCCAAGCAGGCTGGAGGGAGGGACTAGGGCGGGGTCAAAGGCCCAAGCCGGCAGGATGTACTCGTACCGCCGCTTGTCACAGTGCTTCCTGGCATCGAAGCCATGCGTCGCCCGTCCAAACCCAAACACGCGGACCTGTGTGGCAAAGGGGTGCAGGCGCTGTGTGGGGGTGTCGCGGAGTGAGGGGCCCAAGCACCGAGCGTTTCCAAGGGGAAGGTACACTCAGGGCGGCCGTCTGAGCACGCCGCAAATGAGAGACCAGCTGCCTGGATCCTGGGTGGGTTTCAGCCCTCGGCGGCCAACCTGCCACTCACCAACCCCTGTTCTGCATCAAACCCCTGCCAGATTCTGGCTCAGGGACCTGTTTCCATTCCACTCTCTCCAACTTCCTCCCCCCATTCCCCACTCCGAAACTCACACGACCCACCTGGGCGGGCAGCTCGGCGTTGATCTTGGCGAGGATATCGGGGTCCTCCAGCACCATGCGCAGGCTGACCACCTGGCCCACCGCGCTCACGCCCTTGTCGGTCCTCGCCGCCCGCATCCAGTGGATCTTGGAGAACCCCGCCTCGTCGGAGTTGGCGTGGGAGATGCCGCCCGCCTTGTGGATGGCGCGGAAGAGGTCCTCCTCGATGGTTCGGACCCCGGGGTTGCGCTGCATGCCCGCATAGCCGTGGCCCACGTATGCCATGAGCAGCGCCACCTTCCTCTTCTTCTTGGCGTTGGGCAGGGAGGCGGACTCCGCGGTCCCCGCCCCTGCCTCCTGGGACCCAGCACCAGTCGCCTCCGCCTCCACGGCGTCCACAGAGCCCTCCTGGGCAGGGCTCCCGGCCTGAGGCCCGGCAGTGGGGTCCCCTGGTCCACCCCCGTCCGTGGCTGTGACACCCTCTTCGCCGATGGGGGTCATGGCGGCCACCTGCTCCTCCTCAGGCATTCAGAATGTCAGTGTTGTTTGGATGAACGAGTAGACTCAGAGCTCAGGCGCACAAATGGGGAGTCGAGGGGAGGTCGATGAGCCCCTGACGGCTGACAGCGAGATGTTGCACGGTGAAGGGGAAGCAGACTATAAACCCGGTCGACTGCATAAGTACTGTGATATGGTGTCGAATTTGTGCCATAATTCGGTGCACGCGGGTCTGTACAACATGCATGCATGTCGGGAGTGGGCCAACTCGCGCCCAGGACTCGCCGATCCGATTCCACTTCCATCGGATTTCCGAAACTGCCCTCCAGCATGCTCAAGCTTTACATCCGGCGGACATGTTACTGGTACAAGCACATGGTATGCGTACGGGCGCTAAGGATAATGGCTGACAAGGTTTGGGTCATGACAAGGGTGCCGCCTGTGAGGTGGCACAAGGGGCCCCTCTCAAAGCTCGACGACGGGGGTTCGCTGGAAGCTGTAGTACACCTCATCCGTGTCCACATGCATCACCAGGAAGACCTGGGGCAGGGGCAGGTGGAGCGGAGTCGTGAGTCTGGTATACAATGTAAACAAGAGGCTGTTGCTGACTCTTGTGTACCATCAGGGCTCTGGGAACTTCCTCAGACACCTTCTCTCCCCGACCCCCGCCCCAAGCGCACACCTTTCGGACCATGATGGCCAGGATGCAGAGCACCAGGAGGAGCGCCAGGTAGGTCAGGCCCCGGTCCTCCCCCAGAGGCGGCGTGCGGTGGTGCAGCGAGGGCGCATCGGCCATGCGCAGGAAAGCGGGGAACGGTGGGGGAGCGACGACCTCGGGTCTGGGGTCCGGGGAGGGGGACCGGGCGGCCGCCGCCGCAGCGCCGCTTGGTGGGAGGGCCTGGTGGTCCACTGTAGTACGCACCTCCGGCTCTGCTCTGTCCGCACCGACCCCTCGCGCATCATCCTCAGGCTCGGATGCTTCGGGAGCAGCGGCGGCAGGGCTCACAACACCCGGTCTGGTGCTCTCTGACGCTGCAGCTTGCGCCGCTGCAGCATCAGCCTGGGCACTGGCCGTCGCCGCCACGTCGTCTGCGGCAGCAGGCCCCGCCCCATCCTGCGATGGCGCCGCCGGACCGGCCCGCTGCTCCGACCCCACCTGCGCGAGGTGCAGGGCCCTGGAGCCCGCCTCTGCAGCCAGCATGGAGGCGTGCAGGCCGTTCAGCTGCTCTTGTGTGGTGGCAGAGGAGGACCTGGGCACCCAGGCCCGAGAATCCTGCGCCAGAGCGCGCCGCGCCTCGGGCGAGGCGTCCACCGCGCCCACCGCGCCGCCGGCGGGGGTCTGCATGAACGCGCGCAGGGCCACCAGCGCGGCCCGCACGCTCCAGGAGGGCTGCCAGGACTCGGGGTGGTGGGAGGAGATGGACAGGCAGATCTTGGTGCCCACCTCCCAGCGGCCAGAGGGGGTGGCCATCACGAAGGAGGGTGGCTTGAAGGGGTAGTCCGCGGGCAGCAGGATGCGGCCGTGGTAGATGCCTCCGGCGAAATCGCTGTCCCAAGCGCCTCGGATAGCGAAGTGCCACTCGAACAGGTTCTCCTGCGAGTGCCGGGAGGGGGTGCTCAGGGCGGAGCGGGGCTTTGCGATGCATGTGTGACGGGCGCATCCCCACACGGGCTCAGCGACCAGCACCCCTCCGTACACCCACCTCAGCGGCCGTGGCCAGGACATCGGGGTTGTCATCTTGCTGACACTCTCGAAGCTCCTGAAGGATGCGCTTCACGGCCGGGTTGCGCGCGTTCCAGCCCTGCATGATGAAGTCGCTGCGAACCCCTGTCTGAGCTCCGGAAGCTGAACGAGGCCCTTGACTATCTCGGGCTTGGCCCCTCCTTGCTCGAATTTCTAACAAGAAAAATATAGGATGGTGGTCGCCATCGAGCTGAGCTCACCTTGCTCGGGAAGCTTTCCCCTCACCCCATTGACCATCCGGAGTGAATGACGTGTTATTGCTGCTGCGGCCGAGATTCCCTCTAGGACCACCAAGGGGGAGCAGGTGTCAAAGGGAAATAAATACTAGCTCAAGCATTGCTCTGATTTCAACCAGGGTTCTCCTTCTTTGCCTTCTGCCCTTTTCGCTTGAGAGCCTTGGCGCTGGTGAGCAGCTGCGACTTTGATGCCAGAGCAGGACGGGTTGAAGTACCCAGCGCTCGACAGCCCCTTCCTTCCTCCTCTTCGTCGTCGTCCAGCCCTGCCTGGTCCATGGCGGAGGCATTTCTTTGGCCCATGCTCGCTGCCGGGCTGCCAAACTGGCTGCCAAACCTGCCGTGCTGGGGCGGATGAGCTGGAAAGACGCCGCTGCGTTTCAGACTCTTCGCCAGCGATGCGTCTGCTTTGGAGAGCATGGCTGCCTGTCGTGATAGAGAATGCAAGGGCGTTCGATTGGTTTGCGCTGGAAGTCACCGAGGTTGTTCTTGCTCGTGGAAGGGCACACGACCGATAGTGCAAGTCCCTCATCTGAAGGCTCACCTTGTAGTGAGGGACAAAAGTGGCCCCGAGTCCCAAGCCCTGCCTTTGACCAGACTCCAATGCGTCATCCCCGCTCTTGGCAAGAAGTGCAGCGGCGTCACTGATGCCTAGCCAGGCAGCCACCTGGGAGAGGAACGTTCGCATGTAGAGATTTTGCCATCCAGACTGCTCGCTGGGGCAGGCATAATGGATTCACCTTATCTCACAACAAGATTATATTCCAGTAATAGGCCTCCAACTCACTGTGTCCAGGGCAGAGTGTGTGACGACTACCTCCCCGGCATCTGCCGTAGGGGGGTCCGACATATGTTCGACAGCGCTGCTCCTGATATCGTTTACCAATGAATAGTCGGTGCTTAAGAATATCTATCTTTACGCTCCAGGTGCGAAGCAGCCCATGCACTCGAGCATACCCAGCTCGTGCTTGCTGGCCAGCATGCTGGGTTTTGCAGAGCAGAGACGAATGTCGCATGATCATTCCATTCTCTTTCACTGACAGGACCTCTCCACCTCAAGAAATCACATTCAACCGGTCCACGTCTGAGCGTCAGTCAGATTGACGGTCTTGAGTGACAAGTTCTGCTCCATGAGGGCCACACAACAGTGCCCTCATTCCGGGGGCTGCAGCCACACCTCCAGCTGGCGCAGCACCTCTGGGTCCCCGTACCAGCGCCCCCCGCCCTTCCTCTGCGGCATGTGCCACACCCCCTCCAGCACCACATGCTCGGACCCGGGCAGCATGGCGATGCAGAGGGGCGTGACGCCGTCCCCTTCCACCGCCCCATCCCCACACCCTGCCATGTAGCTCTCGAAGACGAGGTACCGCCGCAGCCTGCCGTCCCCTGGGCCGAGCGAGACACGTCCTCCTACGCAGACGATCCGCGTGCCCCCAAAGCAGTCGCCGGTGGGGTAGTAGTAGTTGGTCCACCTCAGGCTGCTCGTGAGGTCCCTAGGATCCAGGGGGGCGCTGGGGCCTGGGTCCAGGGTTTCCTGAATATGACAAAGGGACCACGGGGGCAGGCAGCAATAAGGGGAAGGTGCTGTGCTCCTGGGTGTCATGCAGCGAGTGTCATCAGCCATTGATTCAAGCCTGCAACAGGCAAGGCCAGCATGGCCGCAAACCCTCTGCTCCCATCGCGGTGCAGTCCTGAGGTCCCCATTATACCCATCCAAAGCATGAGCCCTGCCCCACACCACAGTACTGGCAGACCCCCACTCACCACAGGTTTGTAGAATGGGTACTGCTCAATGCTGGCATGCGGCGTGCCGAGGGTGAGTAAAGTGTGAACTTTGGGCGACAGCCCATACTCATGTTTCTGGTAGGGCACACTGCCCAGGGCAATCCGCGCGATCCAGCCGCCCGCGGAGTGGCCCACCAAGGCAACTCTGCCATGCACAGCATGCATAGCATGCACCTGGGTGGCCAGGCGGTCCAGGTAGAAGGAGAATCCCTGGGCGCGGAGGGGGCCTACCCAGTCCAGGAAACGCATGGGCAGGATCTCTGTGGGAGGAAAGGGGAAGGCTGGGTGAACCGTCACACACCTGGCTTGCATCAGTATAGCGTCCACTGTACAGCAGGGCTCGCGCTGCGGAGGAAAAACCCTCGAAGTCTTGCCGGGGTCTCCATACAATCACCCACCTGCATGGAAGCCCCGCTGCCGCAGGTACGCTGCCATCGGCTCATACTGCCCGCTGCTGGTCAAGAACCCAGGCAATATCAAAACAGGCCCTCTAGAATTGCCTGGGCTGCGTGCATGACTTGCGCAGACTGCTAGCTTCGCCGGTGATCGTACCCGGGTGGGACCGGTGCACGGTGGCAGCCTGCGAATGGCGGTCATGCAGGCAGCCGGTCAAGCCTTCGTCGATAGTGCATGGTCTGAGAGCGCTGTAATGCTCATAGAGAATGTATCAACGCAGTGGCCACCGAGCACGTGGAACATGAGCATCCCATCGCCTCGTTGCCCTGGATGTACTTGCGATTTCCGAACCGCGAGAGTCAAACTCCGCGCGCGCGTCGAGGTGCCGTGGTTCCTCGGCACATCGTGGCAACCACCCAGAGGAGGGTGCCGTTATACCCATGGGCAGCATTTCGTGAACTCGTGCTCCTGCTCACCTCAAGTCTCGTCGCAGCCCTGCACTCTCTCTTCTCACCCCCGGCGTCCACACCCCAACCGCCCCGACAACTCCCCTTCGTGGGGCCCCGCCAAACATGGCGGGGCAGCAGGATCCCTACTTCATAGTACAGCGAGACGTGAATGACACGGTGAGGTGCATGTTGGGTCGTCTCAGCATGGGACTGGAGCCAGCCTCGCTCCTGCCGATCTGGCGCCTTGGTGAGACAGGAGCCCCCTACCCCCCTCGCAGTTGAGCAGCGTGCAGACTCGGTACACACAGCTGCGCTCCCTGCCCGCGGCTCACTCCAATCGCAAGCCCCTCCTCGAGGAGCTCCAAGAAGACTGCTCCAGCCTGGAGTACATGGTGCGCTCTTAAGGACGGGAGGAGGGGTCTAGAGGGATCGGGTGTGGGGAAATAGCTGCATCCTGTGGCAAACCTCGCCCCCCACTTCTTCATCCACCTATCACACCTATCTTCCTTTCTAACTCTTCCCCCACCCCCTAAAAAAACGCATGATGATCAGGTGAGCGAGATCGAGCGTTCCCTGGATGCGGCGGAGGCCAACCCGGCCCGATTCCGGCTGAGCCAGGCCGAGCTGTCCGACCGGCGGCGCTGGGCCATCTCCGCCCGGCGCCAGACCAGCGTGCTGAACGAGGGCCTGGCGGCGGCGCGCACGGCAGCCGACGCCGCGCCGCGGCTGACCCCCGCCTCCAAGCTGGCCGCGGCGGTGCACGAGGAGAACGACCGCTTCATCGCCTCTGAGGCCGACAGGCAGCAGGCGCTCATGTCGCGCCAGGACGAGGATCTGGACGTGCTGGGAGGGCACGTTGTGCGCATCGGCGAGCTGGGCCGGGAGATGGGCCAGGAGCTGCACATGCAGGGCCAGGTGGACTGGGGTCCCGTTCGGGAGGGGAGAGACGGGGGGGAGCGGTGCAATGTGTGGAGGACGGGCGAGTCGGTTGTGCAGGGAGTCTGTGCCTGGGTGGTGCCCTCTGGGGCTGATCGATGTGCCCTGGCAACCGCTGCACTACCCTCGGCCCTCTGGTCCCACGCTGCGGCGATCGACAGCTGTCTCCACCTGCCCCACACCACTCTGGCCCCGGGACCCTGAGCTGCTCCCACCAAAGTCCTGGCAACACCACACTCTCCCTCCATCAACCACGAGTGCAGCTGCTGGACGAGTTTGACGAGGAGCTGGAGGGCACCTCCACGCGGCTGGCCGCCGCGCAGAAGAAGATCCAGGCGGTCCTGGACCGCACCGGGTCCAAGGGCCAGCTGGCCATCATCGGCTTCCTCCTCGTCGTGCTCGTGCTCCTGGTGGTGCTCGCCATCGCATGAACAACGGGGCCCGTGCCGCAGGGCAGATTTAAGGGGGGCCAGCGGGGACGGGTCACAGGCGAAAGGGGGGCGAAGTCCGGAGGCGGGGTGGCGATGCAAGTGCACACACACAGGCAGTGGACTCTGGACAGGCGGACAGAGACGTCCAGGGTGCGGCAGACTCCGGCGCTGCACGCACTGTGCAGCTGCCGAGCCTCCAGGCTAGTTTCAGACGGGGGATCGATGGCCGTTGCGAGCGGTGCCACGCCTGGGCTCGCAGCCACGGGCTCACTGCCACAGGCTGGAGGGGAATGGCCCTGCGCAGGGATGAAGGGGAGGCGGCGGAGTGGGTGCAGGAGGGGCGCGGTGCATGGGTGCGATGGGGGGTGGCAATCGCTCCCGCACGCAGAGCAGGATTCACGGCGGATGGGGCAGCATGCGGGCAGGCCACGCGCCCGCAAAAGGGACTGGCATCCACAGCACGACGACTGCGTCGGGCGGGCGGCCGGCAGCTCGGAGCCGCTGCGCCCTGCTCCGCCCCCACACCACTCCCCTCACCTCCCGCCCCGGCGTAGAGCCCCGGCACGGCGCCGTGGGTCACGTGGCGCTCGTGCCGCGGAGCCCCCGGCCCCACCAGGCCCTCAATCTCGCCCAGCAGGTCCGCAGGCAGCACCTCCGCCGGGTCCTGCACCTCATAGTCCGCCTGGCCGGGCGCGGCCGCGTAGGCCGCGTAGCCCGCTGCCTGCACCGCGCCAATGTCGAGGTCGGCGAAGCGCGAGGCCAGGCCCACGTCGGCCCCGGCGCCGGCCGGCAACTGGCTGAGCGGGGCGTGGAAGCCCGCAAAGGGGTCGAACCGCGCGGGCAGGGGCGCGGCGGGCGGGGGTTGCTGCAGCGGCGCGGCCTGCGGCGCAGGTGGCAGGGCAGCGGCTTGTGAGAGAGCCGAGAGAGTCGGGCGCGGGGCTCGAGGAGAGGTGGCCCCGCGCCCAGCGCTTGGCTCCCTCGGGACGAGCAGGAGCGCGGGGCTCCGCTCCTGCTGCTGCGGCTGCGCCGTCGCGTGAGCAGGCGCCTTGTGAGGGTGGCTGCGAGGCGAGGGAGCCACGGAAGCCGGGACGGGATGGCCCGGGGGCCCGCGGGTGGGGGCGGCGGGGCCTCGTGGCATCAGCGCCACCGTAGCCTTGGGCGCGGCCACGCTCGCCGCGTCGCGTCTGGGCGGCGCGTCGCGCCGCTTCGTCGCCGGCTTGCCGGGCTTGGAGCCCGGCGAGGCGATCACGGAGGCTGCTCTGGACGCCGGCGCTGCTCGGGCCCTGCTCTGCGGGTCGGGCCGCGCGACCGCCGCCGCCCTCCCGGCCGCCCTCATGACAGCAGGTGCCTCCTGCGGGCCGGCGCGGTGCGGCTTCGTGCCGGCGCGCTGCCAGGCCCCCCCGTCGCCCTCCTCCGGCTCCGTGTCCGCGCTCGGCCCCGCCCCCACCCCCGCGCGCTGCTCCGGGTCCGTCGGCGAGGCCGGCTGGGGCGGCGCCGCAGCGCCTCTCGCCACGTCCAGGCACCCCTGCAGCTTGCGCCGCACCTTCTTGCCGTACTTGCACGACACCCCCGCCACGGACGCCTCCAGGATGGCGGCGTCTAGACGGCGCAGCGCGGCGTTCAGCTCCGCCTCGCCGCCGCCGCTCCCGCCGCCGCCCTCGTCGCGCTCGGGCAGCTGCCGGGCGGCCGCCTCGGCCGCGCGCTCCAGCGCCTCCCTCGCCCTCTCCTGCTCGGGCGTGGAGCGGGCGGCGGGGCCTGGCGGGGGGCGTCGATGCTGGCTGCCGCCGCACCGTCGACTGCCGGCTCCCGGCTGGCGTGGCCGTCGGCGGTCGCGTCGGCACGTCTGGGAGGCGGTGCTCTGGCGGCACCCAGACCCGCGGCCGTCCCAGGCGCCTCGCCGTGCAGCGCAGCGCCCGGCTCGTCGCCAGGCTCTGGCCCTCGGTCGCGGCCATCCCCCCCCTCGCCGGCGTGCGGGTCTTCCTTCGCCGCATCGTCCCCGGCGCCGAGCTCCGCCTCGCTGGTCCCAGGCGTCATGGGCTTCTTGGCGACCCTGCGCTTCTTCTTCTTGCTCTTCTTGGCCGCCGCGGCCGCCGCCTCCCTGCGGAGGCGCGTCGAGCGAGGGTCTGAAGTGCATGTTGCGTGCGGGCCTCGGATGACGTGAAGAGAACCTCTGCGTACAGTCTCAGATCCCACTGCCGTGGAATGGACCCCTGGTCTCCCTTCCACTCCCACACGCCGTGCGCCTCCTTCTCCCACCCATGAACGCCCTCCTCTCATCCCCTGACCCACTCCGC